AAAATAGTAGACTAGTAAAACATTTCACTAACAGAAAAATCCAAGATTAATAAACAAATGAAAATGTGCTAGAAGTTTTCAGTCATCAGAAAAATGCAAATTAAAACCATGAGACACCATTTTACTCCCACTCCAATGGTTACAGCATAAAGACTGACAATAGCAAACGTAAGTACCAAGTAGTGGGAACAGAAAACACCCAGCCACTTTGGAAAGCTGATGGCAGTTTCTTTCACAAGCTGCCCTCTGACCTAGCAACTGTCTTCCTAGGTATTTATCCCAATAGAAATACAAATACACATCCACAAAAAGACTTGTATAGGACTGTTCGTATTAGCCTTTTTCCTATAGGGGAAAACTACAAGCTGAATGGCAGAATGGCTTTAAAAGACTAATTTGTTCATACAGTGGGATACTCAGCAACTGAAAGGAATATACCTCTGATACACAAGAAGTATGGAGGAACACAAACACGAGGCTGGTGTATCTTTGTTTTAAAGTGTCTGTTTGGTGTCTATTAAATATTTTTTTGTCTTTTTAATGTTGAATTTCAGGAGTTATTTATATATTCTGGGTATGGGTTCTTTGTCAGATAATTGTACTATGAAAATGCATCCATGATCTTGTATGTCTCAGTAGTATACTACAGTACAGCGGTATGGCATTATTTAGCAGTATACTGTACTATAGTCCAGCCATATAGTCTTATCAGCAGATACTAGAGCACAGCTGTATACTATTCTAGAGTACAGCAATATAGTCACATCAGCAGTATACTGTATTATAGTACAGGAGTATAGTAGTGTCAGCAGCATACTGTACTTTAGTATAGCAGTATAGGCTATTCCCAGAAAATATGTTGACTAAAAGAATCCATTCATAAAGTTGAACACATTTCATTTACATGAGGGTCTAGAACAGGCAAAACCAAGCTATGATGGTAGAAAAACAGAATAATTTCATCAGTGGCTGGAAAGAAAGTATTTTACATCTTGACTGGAGTGACAAAGGATTATACGATGATCAAATTTTATCAAAATATACAATTAAAAACTATCTTTTTCTTGTATGTAAATAAGACCTCAATTACTAAAAGAAGGACAAAATATTAAGGTGTAACTCTGATCTTCCCCCAAAAGTGATTTTCTTCTAGTTGCAACTAGTTCTGGTTGTGAACAGGATATATTTAAAATATATTACATATATTATATATATTATAAATATATATTATAAATGTATTATAGGGCCTCCCCTGTGGCGCAGCGGTTCAGCGCTGGGTTGCAAAACTGCCCGCAGCCTCTGCGGCGCTGGTTCGATCCCCGGCTGCTCCCCGGCCACCGGAGGAGGGTCCCACATGGTGCGCAGACCTCTCCTGCCGCCCGCTGCTCCCCTCAGCAGTGTACTTCGGTCCTTCTGCCTGCTCTGCTCCCCACTCTGGCTCTGGTGAATTCTCTCACCCTCCCGCGCTTCTGACTGTACCCAGTGCTTGTATAAATAAACAAATAAACAAACAAACAAATAAATAAATAACTCTAAAAAAAATAAAAAATAAAAAAATAAATGTATTATAAATATACTTCGTAGTTACCTTCCAGCCAGCTATAAACATCTCTGACCAATATCTATACAGTTATCATTGTCAAGGTCAAATCTTTTCCTTCGAGATATTTAGTTGTGTTACAAAAAAATGGTATTAGGCAGCCATACAACCTTTATTTCAGTTTTTATTAAAATAAAGAGAAAATAATGCTGAAACTATACAATGTCAAGACACAGCATATGCGTGGACCAGCTGTTATGAGAGGATAATACCATGTGCTCCTTAAACTCCTTCAGGACTGTCGTGAAGATTAATGAGATGATGGGGCAGACCCTCTTTAGTATGAAAACTACTTGCTGTGGGTAATTTGGGCACTTTAGGGCCCAGTAAATCCATCAGGCTGCTGGGATACCTTTACTGCAGCAAAACGGTAGACTTAAAAATCTATATTCTGATGATTAATCTAATTTTTATATATTCAGAATGATGCTTTCTGAAGCATAATTTATACTTGAAATGCACTTTAATTCCTTAAAAAAGCAAACAGAAAGCTTTTAATCTGTGTATAAGTGTGACTAATAAACTTCTTCCTTCCTTCTAACATTTAAAAGTTTATCATCTTTCAGGCACCTTGAGATTAAAAAAATAGAAGGTGCAGTCACTGCCCCCAGAAGCTTGCAATTTAGTCAGGGAAATACACAAGCAATTTAAATGCAATGACAACTGCTTTCTATGCCCCCCTAAGGACCTGGCATGACAGAGATCCCTGCACGGGGGGCACCTGACTCAGAATAAGGGTGGGGACCTGCCTTGAGAAGCGCTGGGGCCCAAGCAGGGGGACCCTAGAAGGAGAAGCCAGTTGGTCAGAAGGAAGGGCCCAGGGCCCAGACAGGAGACAGCCAGAACGCCCAGGAAGCACTGGCTCCGATGGGTGTCTTCTGGTGCCCAGCCCGGGGATGAAGAGAGAGGTGGGGGCAGCTCTGGACCAGAGGGAGAGACACACTGGCCTCCAGCCCCTCCGGGAAGAGACCGAAGTCCTCGCCCCAGTGACCTGCAGGTGCAGAGAGAGGACCTTACAGCGATCCATACACCAGGGGTGGGTGAAGCAGGGACGAGAGAAAGTCAAAGGGGCAGGAGCAGCCAGGTAGGTCCCCAACGGGCCAACCAGGAGCCTCATGAAACGTGGTAAGGAGCAAGAGGGCGGAGCCCAGTGACAACGCCCCTCAGCCCCAGGGCATAAGACCAGGGATCGGCTCCTGTGCGGGTCTCAGGGACCTCGGCGCCGGCAGGTTCTGAACTGAGGGGCAACAACGGACCACGCGAGGTTCATGCAGACCATGGTTCTCAGGCAGGTTCACTGAGATGGGGCGAAGACTAGATCAGAGCTGGCAAGGAACTGGGGCTGAGACAGCAAAACGGATGCCTGCTTTTGCTTTTTCTTGTCATTTTAGTTTGGAATCATTTTAAGCACTTTCAGTGTTTGTGTACAAAAGAATCAACAGAAATAGAAAAGTTGGGAGAAAAAATTTTTTTAAACTAGCACATAACTAGTAAAGACACCAAATATTGGACAGAGGATCAGATAGAAAAGTTATTAAGAGGGAGTCTTTTCTGGGGGGTGTGACCATAAGGGTACCTCTTCACCAAGAAGATCTTAAATGTGAGTTTAGAAACGAGAGAATTTGTAGGTAGTGGGAGGGAAGCTGAGGAATTTATTTTCCCTCCTTGACAGCTTCTATTTCTACCAAATCGGTGCAGATAGGCTTGTTTCTGGTTTCACAAATATTATTTATGAGGAAAAAGATAAACTTTTACCCATATAAAATAAGTATAAAAATGAGATTTAAATAGCTATACAAGCCAGATAGTCCACTGCCTTGTTTTTTTTTCTTTCTTTTTTTTTGTTTATAGCTTTATTTTTTTTTATTTCAATTTTATTTTTATATTCCCCATACAATTGCAACCCCCTTATTTTGACCCCAATCTCTCCTTTCCCCACCCCCACCCCCCAATGAGTGTCTCTGGTTCATAGTTGTTTGTTGATTTTGATATTTTCTTTCTTATAGTTATTCTTTTTCCTGGTCCCTTATTTAAGTTTTCTAGATTTCTGCTATGAGTGAGACCATCGGTATTTTTCTTTTTCTTTCTGGCTTATTTCGCTGAGCATGATCCCTTCCAGCGCCATCCATGTTGCTGCAAATTGCATGTGTTTATCTTTTTTGAATGCTGAGTAATATTCCATGGTGTATATGGACCACATCTTCTTGATCCAGTCATCTATTTTTGGGCATTTGGGTTGATTCCAAAGCTTAGCTATTGTACATAGTGCTGCTATAAACATAGGGGTGCAGGTGTTCTTTGGAATGGATGTTTCTGTGTCCTTTGGGTAAATACCTAGGAGTGGAATTGCTGGATCATATGGAAGCTCTATGTTTAGTAGGTCAAGAACCACTGCCTTGTTTATTTGCAATGGCTCAAAAATGAACTACAACAATTTAAAATTAATTTAACTTTCCAAATTGGTTTCTGCCATGACGTTAAAACAATTGTACCTTGGTACCTTGGGAAATATTTGATTAATATTTGTTGTTGTTTACCAAAATATGATCTGTAAAATAAATTCTTTTGCAGACATGAAAAAAAAAATAAATGAAAACAATTGTTAATCACTGAGAAGAAATAAAACCTAGAATATGATATAGTATCAAGAAAGGTTTATCAGAAAATACAAAAATAAAAGCTAACTTTGAAACCTACAATTAACCTACAGTTCCTGTAGGAACTTTCAGGGAGAGATTTCTCTGAAACAAAGTTACATTTCTTCCAATATTATTTTAAAAAGGGAAGCAAGGACAAAACTTCGCAGGAACTGTTCTTTGTATTTATGTTGAACTGATGCCTGCATAGATGCTGGCTCCTCAGCTGTCTACACCACATCAAGTAACTGTAACAACTGGGAACAACTGACTAGACTTTCCCACCAGCTCCAGGTGCCTCCTGCAGAGCTGCTGTGAGGGCCAAGCTCCCCCCACCACACTCTCAGACACCTGGCTGGCCCTGGTGACAGCGCCACCGCTTTCTATGACAAGGCTAAGTAGAGGGGAGCCCCCTTGTACCCCTTCTGAAGCTGTAGCGGTCACAGGGAGAGCAGGTGAATGGCTGTGGGGGTTACAGGCCCCCAGCTCTGCACTGAAGAAACTCCCCCTACTGGGCAGGTAGCAGACAGGCAGACAGACAGACAGACAGACTGACAGACCCGTCTCCGTCTGTCCCAGTAAGCCCAGCTCTGCACACCTGCTCCCAATAACCCAGATGTGCCTATCAATGAAATATTCGTCACCCGATAAAGTGACATTCACATAAATACTCTCGCTCTGTATGATGTGTGCTCTTGTGGACGCTAGATTGGAGAGGACTGTTTTCCTAGTATGTTTGGGGTTTACCAACAAGGAAAACTTACTGTTGACATGATCAATGTAGTAGACACCAATCTGGGGGTCAAACCCAGCTTCCCAACCCCACGGCAGCTCATCGCCAACACAATCCGCAAAGGATAAGGGCTTCGTTAACCTGCAACAGAACAGAACAAGACACAGGTAAGTCTTTGCAGGCAGCCAGAGGGCAGCGCCCCCCAACACACACACACACACACACACACACATCAAAGTGTCCAGGTTGCATTTCTTTTTATTCTTGATTAGAGTTCACACCACTGTGTTAGAAGTCTGAAAGAAAACAACCACCAGGATAAAATGCAGTGACAACCCAAGATGGATAATCAAAATGTCCTAACAGTCCTTTGAAAGTTCAGAGCCTGAGACTGGTGGATAAACGTACACAGCCAGCCAGGAGGCAGCTGGGCTCAGGGAGACTCCCGCGCTGAGAGCGGGGAGGCCTGGGGTCTGGCTCTGCAGCTAACGCGTCATCCCACTAACCAGAAACATCTGCCCGGACCCCAGACCCCAGCCCTGGAGGCCCAGAGCCCCCTGTGGGGCCTGAAAGAGGAGATGGACAGAGGCGCCCCATGTGGCCCTGCATGCTCCGGCCACTCAGTGGCCATGTCCTCGACCGTGGGCTCCCGAGAAGGGTGACACGTTTTGTTTCGCTAGTATCTTGTATCTAAGAGTCACTCAACACAAATTTGAACAAAACCAAACACACGGCATCTACCTGTGGGTGTGACCTCAGCCTCTGAGACGGCCTCATGCTTCCTCCTTAAGCTTGAGAACTAGGGGGGAGCCCTGATTTTCCTAAGCAGAGTGTAGACTGCAGCGGGGTTTCTGGGGGGATGCAGTGAGGTGCAGCAAGGATGTGGGGGGACGTCGGAGGACGCAGCAGGGGTGCAGCAGGGAGAAGCCTCAGTAGATCTGCCCTGAGGTGTCATGAGCTGGCACCCCAGAGCCTACATGTGAGAGCACCTGGAACCCCTTTTATCTGAGCTACTGGGGAGCAACACTCCCCTTGCTCCCGGGCAATCCGGCTCCTTCCCAGAACCGTGGCTTTCATCAGAGTAACACACTGCCAGGCTACAGGGCCGAGTGGGGCGGGCAGGGGACGGAAAGATACATGAGGGGGTGAAGGGAGCGGAGGGCGGTGTCTAACGCGGCAGGACGTTGCATCAGTGACCCTGAATGCCAGCAGCACCCGGGGACTCCCCCAGGGACGCGCCAGAGGCGCCAAGTCCACCGAGTCAGCCGCTGCATGGAGCAGCCTTCTCGGCCACGGTGCCCGGGCCAGCCGTGCCAGCACCAGAACTGGGGAGAAACAGGCCGCAGAACCGGCCGCTCCAGGCCGCATGCGGCGTGTGAAGCTGGAGTCAAGCCGAGCTCAGCTTGGGTCCAAAAACTGGTCAGGGGATTGTGCTCAGGATCCCCCTTGTGCAGAAGCCGCCGGGGAGAAGGGCCGGCTGGGCGGCCGGGGACTCATCAAGAGCCCCGTCCCGTCCACCCTGGCGGCCCTGACTCCAAGCAGCGCCTGGGGACCAACTCCCGCGCGTCCGCCCAGGCAAGGCCTGGCCAGAGAAGGCCCCCGGCGCGGGACCCCGAAGTGGCAGGCACGAGAGCCGCGCAGCGCTGCGCGCCAGCGAGGGGGTTCCACGGGTTTAATCCTGGGGCTCCGACCACACGTGGATGCCCAAGTGGGACACGGATGTGTTTGTGGCTTTTGGAATCAGCATCACAGACGCATCACCTCGTGGGCTCGGACCGCAAGTTTGAGCGACTTCGTGGCACCCAGGTGTCCCCAGACGGCAGGCACTGCACGAGCCACGGCCCCGCTCCTTAGAAGGCCACCCTCGCGTGGACGCGTCACTGGGCTCGGCTAGGAATTCCTGTTTCCACTCCTGCAGATTTCCACAAAAACTCTTTGCCACGTTACTTCAACCATCAGCGCAACCCTTGACTTTCTGTGGCTGCACGCAGGCGGCTGCAGCTCGCTCTCTACCCACGCGTAAAACCGCGGGACACATGTGTGTAGACGGGGAAGTTTTAGGAATTGATTCTCGTCTGAATTACAGATTATACCCAGGATGACTTTCTCAGGGCAGCTGGTCTGAGGAACCTGAATTACAGATTATACCCAGGATGACAAACGAGACGAAATGCTCGTGACGCCGCCGTCCTGATCCGGGCCCGTCCCTGGGCCGCAAGGGGAGTCCCGGCCAGCGGAGTCCGAGCAGACAGGGCAGGCAGGGGCGACCCCAGCTCCTCGGTCTCTTCTCTGGCTTCGCGCGGAATCTCTGAAACACCCCGTCTGCCCTGACGGCAAGGGAGTAAGAAAAGATGGAGTCTGCTCTTGGCTCGTTCCCTGCCAGGAGCAAAATCATGCACAAAGTCTCAAATTAACACGAGTCTTTCTGCTACATTCCTGACATGACTCTGCTTCAAAAACCGTCTTCCCCGCACTGTGACGAATGTGAAGAAAACGGGAATGTGCTGCCACGCTCTGCCACAGTCTACACACCAAGCCTGGAGTCTGCGTGGCATTTCCGCTCCTCGTGGTGCTGTGTCACTCTCTCACACGGCCTGGCACTTGCACTCATCGTCGAGCCCCGGTACCTGCCCGCGGGGTGCGAGGCTACACGCCGACGTAGCGTAGATCGTGCCCGATCCATGATCAAGACACTGTGTTTGTTCTCGTAACTGAGTGTGACTCACTGCGCTGAAGGGAAAAGCCCCTGACAAGAAAACCACTTTCAGGTCAATAAATCTTTAGCCACGGGAGTCGTGCCTCCCCAGAGAGCAGCTCCCGCGGGGGCGAGACAGCCTACGCGATGGGTGCTCGGAGCATCTGCGGCTCTCACCGTTCACCTCACTCAAGGCAGAGTCCTGGCTGTGCACGGTCTGGTGACTACGGCATCTGCCCCCACGCCCACGGCCGAACCCCTCTGCGAGGCCGCGGTGCACAATCTAAGCTGACGGGGTGGAGACACCTGCCATCTTGCTAGAGTTCTGCAGGCATTTTCATATAATGACGAGGAGTCTTCTCCAAGCAACATGGACCTGCTTCCCTCACTACCCAGGTCTCGGGGGAAGGAGTCAGTAGAGGGACAGGGGAGGGGGCGGCCAGAGGGGGGACTGAGGCAGCAAGAAGAAAACCAGCAAAGAGCAAGCACAGACCACTTCAGAAGAGGCGACTGCAGCCCACGGTGGGTCTTGGGGAAACTGGCCTTCGTGCCTCCAAGCAGTCCGGTTGTGAGACGGGGGACGGGCCAGCCGCCGTGGCCACATAGCCGGAGGGGGTGACGGGCGATCCCCGGGCTCCCGTCCTCAGACCGGCTCTGGCCATCCTGGCACCAGCTTGGGTCCTCCGGTGGAGGCTCAGGTCCAGGCTTCCTGCAGTTCCTCAGGCTGGGGCTAGTCGTACCCCTCTGACCCCATGGTGCCCAAGAGAACTAGGTCCATCCTCGGCCCATGAGGGCTGTCAAGCAGCAGAGCACAACCACCTGGGCCCCCGCCTCTGCTCTCCGAGTGCCCAAAGGCCCCTCCTCTCACTGTTCCTCCTGTCTCTCCCCTCCCACTCTTCACCCCACGTTTCTCCCTGCCCTCGCCCCCCATGCCCCACGAGTCAGAGCAGACTCTCCCCACTGGTTCTGACCGAGAGGCTTGGGATCTGGAGGACTCCAGCAGGCCTGGCCGAATCTCCCCATGCCGCCTCGCACCGGCTCTGCCCTCACGGACATGTGTGTCCTCGAAGGCCAGCGTCGGGGTGATTCACCTTTGAAAGAGCACAGCACGAGGGCAGCTGGTCTGAGGAACCAGATACATGACTCGCAAAAGCCTCAACGCTTCCAATACTCTGTTTTGAAAAAGTCAATTTATACATATGCAAATGACGCTAATGGTATCACCCACGTGCTGAGTGTTTATCAGGCGCCACGTGCAATTTTATGGACGGAGTTAAACCCCATCAAACTCTGCATAGGACATGCAATTCTTGTCACCGTGTGAATAGTCCAGGCAGGGAAAAAGCTTGTTTGTGATTGAAGCCGGGGAATAACGTCTGTGATGTTGTAATGCAGCATGACTTCAACACATTTTTTAAAAATAAATGACGTCTCTTTGACATGATTTATAGAGAGAGAAGCAATTTCTAAGTAAAACTGTATGATTTCTACATGCCATGCTTAGACAGGCTATAGCATGATTCGGCTTGTTTAAACTGTCTATCAGCTCAAGACCAAGTTGGTGGTGATGAGGCCGAGGCTGTCGATGAGTCTCCCCCAAGGCCATTAACAATATCTAACATACCCTTGGCCCGAAGCTGCTGATCTCTCAGGGGCTCTCAAATCTGAGAGCACATCCCAGGGCGTACTGCCCCACCTGGCTGTGCCCAGCTCTAATTTTAAATACAAATTCTGACTCCAGGGATTGGCGGAGGGGCCTGAGACTTTTTATTTCTAACAAACCCCCACATAATGCTGATGCTGCCGGTCCCCGGACCACACTTTGAGAACGACTGGCCAGGGGCACAAATTTCAGCCCGAATTCAACCCAGGGATGGGGAAATGAAAAACAAAAAACAAAGTCAGACAATGAAACTGGAGGCCAAAGCCCAGGATTCATGAGAACGGAGCCTCGCATAAGCCGGGCACGCCCGGCCACGGCGGCACCGCTGGAGGCCTAGACCCGGCGGCTCCGACCCCGCCAGGGTGATGGGAGGATGTGGGGTCTCTCCACGTGCTGCAGGGGAGGCCCCGCACAGCGCCAGAGGGGACGGGCCTCCAGAGCATCATGCTGGGCCGGAGAAGCCAGACTCGATGCCCCCGTGGTGCGAGTCCACGGATACACAAACCCACGAGCCATCGGCAGGGCGGGAGGGGCCTGCAGGGGCCGTGGAGAGGAGCTGCTCCCTGGTCTCCTGGAGTCAGGCCCAGGCAGGGCGGGGGCTGCGGGGGGAGCGTGGGTGCCGCCCGCCGCCAGGGGCTCATTTCATGTTCTGTGCATTTTCACCTCAATACATCGTCTTCAAAAAACAGTAACAAGTTAGAAGAATGCCAGGATTGCACATGAATAAAACATTTTCATGGGAGGACGTTAAATATGGGGAAATAATGAAAATATGGGAGCACA